TTTGAGAAACAGGTTTAATTAATGTAATGGAATATACACTTCCAATTAGCACAAATCTCACTAAGAGAGTACTTACAAAAGGAAGAGACCAAGTGAGAACTAATCAGTGAATGACTTCAAACATAGGGCTTGAGCCTGAGAATTCCTTGAAGAAGCTGATCTCAGAAGGCAAAGTTCCTTAAAGGGTGGTCAAATTTCAGCTATGGTTCACCGTTTATGGTTTAAAGGAGTTTGAACACTCAGATAAGATCAAAAAGAGCTTTAGATATCTCCTCCATGATTGTTTGAATTGCAGACTGAGAGAAATCCAAGAACCACTATTTCATTCACAGTGAGCCTGCTGCTAAAAGTTGGAATTTCCTTTGTCTGAAGTTCAGTTTAAGTGTTGCCTAAAAGACATTGTTTGTTGGCTCCCTGAAATTCTTTTTTGAGGTTGTAACGTTCGGATCTTTCAAATAAACGTTTCTGCAGCTCCTATGTAGGCCATTTGGGTAGAAGAAAACAACAAAATTTTCAAAGATGAGCACGAAGATTTTTGGAATTTTTGTAATCTTTTACAGTACACACCGCCTCTACCTCTAGTTGAATGGCTAACCAGGCTAACCAGGGATTGTTATAAATGACACACATAAACCTACTAAATTAATTGTCATATCATAGTAAACTGGAATAATATTCAAAATGAGAACTTTGCCTTTTCTGGCAGCTGTATATATGTTAAAACATGTCAGTTACTGCTACTGATTTCCGAGTAATTTGATGTCCACATAACTATTTAAAATATCAAGTGGCTGATAAAAATCTTTAGAAAGTCTATCATCCTTGTAGCCCCAGCAGTCCCCATGCCGTTTAATTGAATCCAAGTCCAAGGGGAATCCATCGAAAGAATACCTTTTCAAGCAATGAATTATTTCGGCTTACAAAATTCAATATCATCAGTACCTAACTAACACAGTGAAAAATCAATTACTACTGAATGAAATTCTCATAATTCTCTAGAAATAGACCTTACACGAATATCGGTTATTTGTAATCTGGGGTTGGTTGGACTCTCCAGCCACACAAGCTTCGTCAGAGGGCCAATAGCAGATGAGACCTCATCTAAGTCATTTGTGTTCACACGTCTGCAAATTATTTTCTTTGCAATCTTAATCTTGGAGGCAGAACCAGGATGAAGACGATGATAATATTTAACTTACTTGATCACAATTCCTCGCTTGGGAATCACTTGCGAAAGCAACCGATCGGAGCCACCATAAAGGTCATCTCCAGCGACAATTTCCTCACCTGTTTAAAAGAGATTGCAAATAAACAGTTAAATATCCTAAGAAAGCTTCTCCATCTTTTCTTTTTCTTTTTGGTTGAGGGGAACTATTGGAGGAGAGCCAGGCAAAATGGGACAGAGGGAGAATTAAGCAAAGTACAAAGTGCCGGAGAATTTCAGTGGAGCACAATAGCTGGTCTGACTATCAGAGAGGTCCAACGTAGAAAAAGATATTCACACTATGATGAAACTTAAAAATCTAAGATATATCATAAGAACCAACACTAATAATCATACAAAATCAAAAGTGGAAGTGGAAAATGATCCTGCAAATGGATTACAAAAACTCACCAGTTCTAACAAGCTGAGCAACTGCAGCTAAAGCAGCCATCCCACTGGTGAAGCAAAATGCTCGGTCTGCTTTTTCAAGCTTCGCTAAAAGGCTACATGAACAAGAATTTCATTTTTTTAGGGGAGCTGCATCAGTGCCAGGAAAGCACCCTTTTTCTCCATTTTAAGAAGAATATAAGACAAAATGCACCTTTCCAAGGCATCTCGTGTAGGATTTCCACTTCTGGTATAATCATATGGGCCATTTTCTATTGCTGAAGGCTGCATATCAAAGTGAAAAATGGAGATCAAACAAGAAGCCACAGCATTCACAATGTCCATAAAGATACAAGGAACAAGATAGAGATAGAGAATGCAAAAGAATAGATCAAACCACGAGGAATACAACAATAACTATAATGTTGGATGTCTGGTAGTCATAGTAACAAAACATGTACTTTGAATCTTGGAAATTCAGTGAGTTAAATGTTTCCAGCAAATTCTTATCTTCGTTTCAATCTCATGTAAAACCTCGTCTACATAAAGCAATAAACAAATTATCACCAACCACTACTTATATTCAACCATATATTCAAACAAATTCAGTGAGCTTTCTTGTAATTGCCTATGTGGCCTTTTGTATATTTCATACCATCAATGAATATTTGTTTCATATCAAAAAAAATATTCAACCAAGTGGCCACGACCTACTTGACTATATACAATATTGCAATATCAAACTAGTTCTACGAATCTAAGATTAAACCAGTGACTCGGCAACTGGACACTTATAGATATTATAAAGGTTTAAATCCTACTTTAGTCTGTAAACTTCCATACTTGTTTCATTTTGGTCCTCACACTTTCAAAACGTTCTAATTTAGTCCCTCAACTTTCAGATATTGTGTTTCAATACATAGGTTTTGTATAAAAGATTAATTTGTCTTTATCATTAATTTTTCATTAATTATTTAACAAGAGTCCTAATCTATTTGGAAACTTGACATCTAACGAACCACACGTAATATTGGTCCATGTAGACATCACTGATCAAGTAAATGAACAGAAGAAATGCACATGTCAAATTTTTGTAAATAATTTATTAAAAACTAATATTAATGATTGGTATAACTTTCCATGCAAAGTTCTTTTTTTTATTGATAAATAAAACATGTATTTTATTGATAAATTAAATTTACAAGGGGAAAACCCCGAGGCCAATGGTTACAAAAAAAGCCTTCCAATTGGCCACAATAATGGAAAGAATTTGAAGCTTTTTTATGCAAAGTTCAAGTACTAGAACGAAAAATTTAAAAGTTGAAGGACCAAAATGAAACTGACATGAAATTCAAGGTCCAGATCTAAACCTATTATAAAACACGCCTAACACTTACTTGCTTGAAGGTGGCCGTTTGGTAAAGCGGCGTGCTAACAGCATGATAAGGATCAAACTTGGTTTCAAAATTCATTATCATAGTTGAAATGCTTGGCTCTTCTTCCTCCAATTCTGCAGCAAGAAACCAAACTTCAAATGCCAAGAAAAATCCTTTCAATAAAATTATCCATAGAGAAAAAGTTAAGAATTTACCAACACCATCAATGACAGCCGACGTGCTCACATCCGTCTCTCTATCCATTGAGCACTTCCTCTTCCAAACCAACAACTGATTACACCTCGAAAATGGCGGATTCTGGAATCGAAAACTCACCAAATTGTTCTTGGAAGAGACCCCCTGTCAAACACCAATCAAAAAACACAATAACTGGATGACCCATCTCCCAAAATCGGATTCAAATTCCAAATGTCACAAAAAATAAGAACCCCACAAGCAGCAAGTTGAAGGGAGATCAAAACCTCGCCCCTCATTTTTCACATTCCTCAATCGTTTCCCAGAAACCCAATAGACAATTTCAATGAGAGGGAAAGAAAATAAAAGAAAAGGCAGAGTTGTAGTTACTTTACAGTGTCCGGCGGTATCAGAAGTTGTTAGATTGTTGACGACGGAACTTATGGAGATGGAAGAAGCGGAAGCCATGGCCAGAGGTTTAATGGGGTTTTTGCTGTGGCTGCTATTGAAGCTTGACGCAGCCGGTATGAGCTTAGGAATGAACCTTTTGTGGGTTAATGCGCCACAACAAGGCGAATACTGAGCAAACCGTCTAGTGTGTGGATTTTTTTAGGTTTAAGTTCAAGTCTTAATTTCATCCCTATCATTTGATTTTGGTTTCAATTTTATTCAAATACTTTTTGAAATATTCAATATGGTTGGTGATTTAAGTCTAAGTTTTAGTTTCTATTTTTGGTTTCAATTTTATATTTGTGAAAGTTTCAATTTCATCGATATGGTTTGGATTCAATTTTACAAATTATCCATATTGTTATCAAATGTTATCCTATCAAATATATTCAATATGTATTTTCATTTAAGTGGTTATGAATTGACGATTTAAAAAAGAAAACAAATAAATTGAGGTAAATAGATCTTGATATGACATGTGTTTCTTAGTTTATTTTTAAATGATGAATTTTGCAAGTTTTAATTTTGTATAATTAATTTGATTAAATTAATTCTTTTTTAGGACCGAAATTACCACTTATATTGAAATAGTATATTATTAAAATATATAATATTCAGTAAAATTTTAAAATCATGAAGTAATTCACATATATCTACTCACTCATAATAACAATAACAATGTTATGTTTTCTTTTGATCATTATAATTTGAAAATTTGAAATCATTTCTTATTAGAAGTGAAACACAGAGCATAACTTAGCCAAAATGGGTAGGAAAATAGTTTTTAAATCGATATATATTTACCCCATTTTAAAATCACAGTCGTTTTGATGTCCGACGCCGCTAGAGTTGGCGCTTGAATCATAAGTGAAGAGTGGCGAAGTGAAAATTTGTAAAATTGTTAACCATGGCGTCCCGATTGCAGGAGATCGAAGCTGATGAATCTGTACTCTTGCGCGTAACACATGCCAATCTCAAGTCCTTCACTTCTGATGTTCGTTTTTCCCTTCAGGTATTTCCATTTTCCCAAAGATCGAACGTTATTTTAGTGTTCGTCGCATCAATTGCCGATTGCCCATTATGGGTTTTGTTTAAAAATTGGTTTTGGGTATCTTAAATTGTAGATGAGCATAGAATCTGTCAAGGAAAAGCTGTGGAAAAAATGCGGTACTTCTGTAAACTCCATGTGCCTTGAACTCTATGATGACTCCGGTGCTAAAATTTCTGATTTGACGGATAATTCCTTGCCCTTGGGATTTTATTCCCCCCTAGATGGGTACTTCTTCTCCCATTTTCTTTCAATGGGTTCTTTACTAATTTTTACACTGCATTTGCTTTGTTTTCCACTCTGCAAATGGTAATTTATATCCCACTGTTGATGAGAAATTTTAATATGTGGATTGTTTCTTTGAAAAGGTACCGGCTACATATTATTGATCTTGACCCCTCATCAGTTACTTCTGGTGGTTGGCTTGAAGATACCTCACTAGTGGAGAAGTACCAGATTTCTGAAGAAGCTTACGATAAACGTGATGGTTAGTTTCTTGCATAGCTTCCCCTGCTATTAGAAAGCTTGTATGTAATTGCCTCGATTGCTTGTCAAATAGGAAGCTCTCTCTGCACTGAAGGACCCCTCCGCCACCAATGGGGTATTGTGAGTCAGAGCCAAGAATTATAGTATAAACAGGCTTAGATTTTGGTCTTAACAATATGAGGTTGATAGCTATTTTCCAAAATTTTATTGAATCTGCATTTTCTTACGACATGAAGCAGCTGCTATTTAGAAAGCTTGTGGAATGTTAAATGTGTGTGCTTAATTTTTCAAAGAATGTGGGAGAACTTCTTTGAGCCACTAAGCAGCGATTTTGTGGGAAGTGTGGCTCAAATGAGATAGGAGATTTTTCTCTGGGTAAGAGAGGATTACGGATTAGCTGTAGGAAGTAATTGTTTTTCATCCTTCTTAGTGTCTTAGATCTAAATACTTTTGTAAATATTTTCTTTCCTCTATACAAACCAATTGAGATCTTCAGATTGTTTTTCTGCAATAGCTACCTCTTGTATATTTCAACGAAATAGTCCATCATGAAAAGGTATTGTGCATAATTTACCTGAACTAGTTCATCAGGAAAAGGTATTGTGCATAATTTACCTGAAATAGTTCATCATGAAAAGGTATTGTGCATAATTTACCTACTTTTGGATTTTTTTTCAGATACATTCCGAAAATTCAAGGAAAAATTGGCATCCCAGAACCCATCAGCTTTTGAAAGTAAAGTGAGCCTTCTGTATCCTACTTTTGTATTTAACAATTTCCATAGAAACCTTGTTCATCACTAGTGAATTGTAAATTTGATGTAGAGGCTACCAGTACTTTAGTTAAGTGGAGCTGTGTAAGTGCCATCTCTTAGGATCCTTGAAACCTGGTTTTCATCATGCATTATTGTGAAAATCAGATGCATTTCCATCTCCATACTTGTCATTTTTTGTCTCTATTTACTGACCAGCCATAAATTTACAGATATCTGATACCTACATGGAAGAACTCTGTGCAAATATCAAGGTTAGTTACCTGCTTTAGATGTGTATAACGTATGTATTCTTTAAAACCTACGAGAATCCTTATTTTGAACAGTTAGAACTTTCATGCTTAAAGTTTTTTGGACGAGACTTCATGTTAACCTATGATTTCCTGGAGACAGTTCGGAAAGATTTTAGAATAGTGAAATATTTGTTTCTTGGTCTTCGCACAGTAATTTTTCAGTCATACATATCTATGTTCTGCTCTGATAACTTTTGTTCTGTCAATTCATCTCTAAGTTTCCTTGAACAAATCCATGGTTTAAGCAGTCCTTTAAATTTTGGCCTGATAGTTCTAATAAATGCCCCTCTTCTCTTCTTTGTTCGTCCTGAATCGGAACATTTTACTCAATGTCGACTTCAGATAGTTAGCATAAATCTTGCGTCCAGAAATTCTTTCATGGGGGAAGTACTCAGCTGCTCCTTCAGAGTTCAGACCTCCCTTTTAGTCGCAGTTTGTGCTAAACTTTGACCTTTTTCATGATTTAGGTAGGTGATAGATGTGAAGTTGAACCAGGGGAGAAGAGGGGTGTTGTAAAATTTGTTGGCCGGGCTGAATCGCTTGCTCCTGGATTTTGGGTTGGAGTTCAATATGATGAACCATTGGGGAAAAACGATGGCATGTAAGAAAGCCTTTCACTCTCTTCTGCCTGTGATTAATTTGTTTTTCCTTATATTTTTTTTTTGTTATTCCTTTTGAGTAACTCTAGTACTTCGATAATCACAAATGCACACAAAAAAGTTTCTCTTTGAGAGGGACAAAATATACTACGGACTTTGAAACATATATTTTATGATGACAACCTGCCTCAATTTGGGTAAGTTGTTTCATGTGGCTGTTATGTTACAGAAAAATTTTCACTCTGATCATCCTTAAATTCTTTAGGTTTCAACCTTGTCTACTACTTCTTGGGTCATTGTTTGATAAAGTTGTCATCTAAGAAGCACAGACCCGGGACACATCCACGGTGACACACCAATTTCTAAAAATGTAGGACATGAACATGTCCGGGTCATGTTACTTTTTAAAAAAATCTTTTAGATAATATATGTGTATATATTGATGTAGTAATACTTTTAAATGAATTAACCATACAAGTTGAATATAACAAAACAAAATGTGCTTCATTAATACATAAATGACGTAGTAGAGGGAGGGCAGTCAAAAGTGGAGGCGAAGGCAAAGAGCAATTGGAGGGAGGGAGCATTTTTACGAGAATAGTTCTCCTTTGTTTTTTTCCTTTCTTTTTTTCCTTCTCTAAATTATTTCTTTTTTAGAGGATTTTTAGTGCTTGATGGGTTGGCTGGCTGACCTTTTGTTTTTCATTTGGTTTCTTTTAAGCGGGCTTATATTTTTCTTTAAATTTCATGTAAATTTCATATGGTTTGTCCTTGGTGTGTCCACCACATGTCCAAAATATTTTTAAAAAAGAAAGAAAAAGACACATAGTTTCGTGTGTCGGACATGTGTCCATGCTTCCTAAGTTATCCTCATTCATTCGGGTTGACAGATCAGAATTGCGTTAGAATCCAGCTTTTTGTCGATTCGATAAAGTGGTTCTTCCCAGTTTATTGTTTATGCTGCACTCTTCAGAGTTTTTTATCACATGTTGTGTATACTGAACTAGTGAAACTCGGCAGGGTAAAAGGGATCCGCTATTTTGATTGTCCTCCTCTTCATGGTGCGATGGTTAGGCCAGACAAAGTGAAGGTTTGTTTTGCAGCTATTTTCCAACTTTGAAACTGGAAATAATATGTTACATGGCATTTTTGCTTAGTCTTTGGACTTTTGAGATCCCGAACTTTCAATTTTGTGTTTAATAAGTCCCTAGAATTTTGAAAAATTCAGGGACCTATTAGACCCAAAATTGAATTTTGTGCCCAATAGGACTGACCTTTCAATTTTGTGTTTAATTGATCCGTAAATTTTTTAAATGCCTTATAAGTTAGGGACTTATTAGACACAAAATTGAAAATTCAAGAATCTATTCAATACTTTTAAAGTCAAGGGACTTATTAGGTACAAAATTGAGAATTTGGAGGCCATAAACGACCGTAAAAATTCAAGGTTCAAAGACTAAACTTGTAATTTAATCCATATTTTTTTTACTGAACTTTGCTCATGCTTACCAACAAAGAGATTCATGACCTCTTGTCCTTAGTATCCTATGGTCAATTGCTACCTATCGGCCCTCAAAAATGTCTGAAATAACATGAATTTCTGTAGCTTACCGTGGCATTTTTCACATCCATATTTTTCTGCCCTCTTGTCCTTAGTATCCTATGAATTAATTAATTAAGTGTTATACAAGTGCACTGTCGTCTTCTGTCATGTTAGCGCTTATTAAAACTCGATCATGTTCCAGGTTGGCGACTATCCCGAACGGGACCCCTTTGATGATGAAGAAGACGAGATATAAGAAGTTCAAGAACAAATCGCTGTCTATGCCTACGGTTTGTAACATTCTGGAGCTAACCAGCCTTTTTTCTGAAGCCTTAATGAAATATTGATTTATTTTAGAAGTAATTTAAAGACATCTGAGCTTCAGATGCTGGCTGGTTACAAGCTTTCTTGAAAGAAGTTATTTTTCGGGGAATTCATTGAAAGAAAATGACGGTAAGATCTCCAGGTCTTCAGTGATCGTCGTGTCAAAAACCGTTGCGGTTTTTCTATCGGGTGTTACTAATTGTACTGCAGTTGAAACTTTTAAAAAGGAAAAATTAGATAGCATTGAACTAAGATTTTGTATTTTATTTCTGCTTGCAAGTTTGTTCAGTTGTTTTGTATTGTAATGCAGGTCCCTCTTTTGATATACCTATAGAAGGTTTTGTTTCGTGCGAGTATGTTTTCTTTTCCTTATCGTAGATCGTTTGACGATATGTGATTAGAAAGAATTTGCTCGAGAAGTTCAACTAATACTGGTGTGGTATTTGCCGAAGGTAACGCTATCGGTGATAATAAAAGCGTAGAAAGAATTCAACAAAGTTTCAGTATCAACCAAAAAAAAATGTGAGAAACAAAATTTCTAGAAGTATTTCAGTATTCTTTTTAACAAATTTAACCATCACACATTGACTTGTATTGACAAATTATGTGAGCTGAAAATGGGTTTAGAAAAGTAGTGGTGTGATGTGAGTGAATTAGCATAAAACCAAAGGAAAATGCAAAATGGTTTGTTGCTTTGTTATATTATAAGCCAAGAAAAATAAATAAATAAATAACAAAGAATCTTAATAATGTCCAACATTACTCATCACTGAAAGATTTCTTGAAACGAGTTATGATTTTGTGAATAGTGTGGGTTGTTCACTATTTGTAGATTCGTTAAGAATGTGAAGTAGATATATCATTCTTTACGAGTCTAGTGAAGATTAAGGTGAAAAATTTGACAGAAGGTTCAACTTCAACTTGTGGCAAGTGCAAGTTAAGGATGTTCCCGTAGATGTTGTAAGAAGTCTAGCATAAATGATGAAGATTGAAAAAAAATAGATTTGAGGGCTACAAATGCGATAAAAACAAGTGTGGTTAAGAATATCCTTACAAACATGGAATTTCGACAGCCAAAAAACTTTTGGAGAAGCTCGAAGCATTGTATCAGGCAAAGGGCATCTCAAATCGACTATACGTGAAGGAGCAGTTTCACACGATAATTGGTCGATTTCGTTCCGTGAAATTGGTTTTTCAAAATTTATTATGCCCCTCTACTTCATATGATATGTTGATTGTAACTTACCCAATTCAAAATAGGGTACGTAAACGGTGAACAAATAAGATGAACCTATAATGTAAGAAATAAGAAGGTATATTTTTGTGAACAATTAATACAAAAAAAATATATATATAATGCACTCTACCTACCCAATATGTAGAAACTCAACCAGTTCTATCACCCATCACGTTGCCCACCGTTGTTCCCTCGCTTGATTCCATCAATTTGTAGTATCGCCTAACAAGATCTTTCTCCCTCGTTGGATTTCTAAATCTCGCAAAGCTTCATTCTACAAGCATTCCTATTTGAATGAATTTTTTTAAAAAGGTATATGGATTCCGGATCATAAAGAAAGGGAATTTATTCTGCGACCGATGTGACCGAAGATTGAATTGGTACCAACGAACCAGGAACTGATGGAATTGATGATTTGAACAGGGTGCGGAAGAAGAAAGAAAAAGGTAGTTGCAGAGGCTTTTTCTAAAGATAAAGGCTGGAAAGATAAAGGTAGTACTGTCTACCTTTCTCCCCTCTCTCTCTCTCCCTTCATCAACTCCCGCACCGATTGTTTCCCTCTCTGATAGTCTCCTTCCCTGATCTTCTTCAGTGTGATGTCTCCTTAAATTTGGTTAATTTTGTCTTCCCGTATATATCAAACAATAGTGGTTAGAACTACCGGTAACTTATATGTTTTTTAATCACACAGCATTCTTCTTTTAATGTTTAAAGTTTAATCACAGTAATAATTTGATTGAAAAAATAAATATACGTAAAGGATGAAAGTTAAGTTTTTGAAAGATTAGAGACAAAAATGTCACCATGCGTGTCAATTTCAATCCTGAATTTTTTTAAATAATAATAACCATATTATTTTGCCACTAACATTTAATTATCAAATTATAATTCAAATAAAATTTTAATTCAAATATAATAGAAATCTTGAAAATTTAAATGTCCTTAAAAGTTCAAGAGCCAAAATAGTTTAAGAATGGAAATGAGATTTTTTTTTTTGTATTTAATAACTAGAGAGAAAAAAGTGCAAACTTGAGTAGATATTGATATGTTTTTGCTTCTTTCGAACTTATCTTAAAAAAATATTTTTGGTCAAACCATCTAATCCTTAAATTTTAATTTGTAGCGATTTAGTCACTATGCTTTCAAATGGATAACAATTTAGTCTATGAATTTTATTATATAATAATTTAGTTTTTATCGTAAAAAACCTCATCAAAATCAAATGTCAATCTTTATCACGTGACAATTTAGAATTTGTAGTTTATACACACATTTGATTCTTAACAGGTGTATTTACATCCCAGTAAATCTTAAAAATATTTGTCACGATAGAGACTACATCGTAAAAAGATTGAAAATTCAAAAGTTAGCTAAATATATGATTACATTATAGCTAGAATTCGAGAACCAAATTGTTACAAATTTGAAAATTCATGGGGGAAAAAAAGACAGTGGATGTGACAGGAACAACTCATCCACAATTGCAGAACTGAAAGCTAACTTTAAGGCAAAATCTCAACCATTCTGGCTGGTCCTGCCATATAATATATGCTTTTCCTTTCAAATTCTGTTTTTATTGGACTGCACTTGCTGCCAACTATCTCCATTTTTAAATTATATTTCATCCCTCTTTCTCTTTCCCTCTCTTCTTTCTCTCTCACGTGGCCAAGAGCGGACGTCGGGACCTGTTTTTGACTTTGTCGTAATTCAAAAAGTATATATAAAATAGGTTCAATGGATATTTTAGTCTCTAAAATTGGTTGATAATAAACTTACATGTCAATGTGCTTAGTGAAGTGATAGAAATTAAGAGATAAAAAGAGTCAAAGAGGGGAAAACTCAAAATTTCTACCAATGTTTTAGAAATATGGAGGAGGATTCAGAAAATGTTCTCTCTTAGATGATGTGTTTCTCCTCTAAAATTCTACCAATTCATTAAGTATTATGTTATATAAATTTATCAACAACGACGACTAAATTGGAAAATATTAAAACATAAGAATACAGAAAATTTACCTATTATTTCATACTTTGTCAGTAATTCAAAAAGTTTATACACAAAATAGGTTTAATAAACGTTTTAGTAAAGGTTTTAAATGTCAACGTTTATAGAAATGTCAAATCTTAAGTTGTTGTTGATGGATATTTAAATAAACAAATAAACATTTTTCTATTTCAAAATAAGTTAAAAATAATTAATAGGTATATATCAGTGACATTTTGTTGATATTTTTCATTATTTTTTGATACTTTTTAAATATGATAGAAATGTTGATGTCGGACACATGGATATTTTGAAACATCCACCGATATTTAATACTATAGTTTTAGTCTATAATGTTTGGAGGTTTTTTCAACCTAGTTCCTATTGTTTAAAAAGTTTCAATTTAGTCCATCACTATTACTACATATTAAAAATGGTTGATAATCAATTTACATGACACAATACTTAATGAGTTAGTAGAAATTTAAAGAGAAAAATAGAGGTTTAAGAGAGGAAAGCTTGAAATTTTGACCAACTTTTTAAGAAATTCAGACTAGGATTTTGAAACTTTCCTCTCTTAGATTACATTTTTCTCCGCTAAAACTTCCGCCAATTCACTATATACCTATCATGCTATATAAATTTATCATAGGTCCCAATTAATACTTACCAACACAGTGAAAATTAAATTGAAAAAATATCAAAATATAAGAAACTAAATTGAAACGGTTTAAACAATGACTAAATTGAAAACATTTTTAAAATGTTCGGGATTAAAACATATATTTACCCTATAAAATACTTAAGAATTTAGAGTTCCTCCCTAATTTGCCTCTAGATTGTAAAATTTTACTCGAATAAGAAAATTTCTGACTCCGCCACTGCTCACGAGCTTTCTTGCTTGTGGCTAGTTGTGTAAAACATTAGGTCTCTTTCGATCTTCCTCAATTTGTTTTTGCTTCAATTTCATCATCACTGTCTTCTCTTTCTGTTTTGGTTTCATATGGGGAGTTTTGGATTCCCACTTTCTTGTAAGCCAAGTGATCTTCTGAATTTTCTACACTCTTTTGTTTGGATTCATATGGAAAATTACAGAGAGAGATTTTGAAACTTGAAATTGTAAACTAAAAAAATAAAAAAAAAGTGCCTACCATCGAGTTCATTTTGGTCTTACTTTCAAAGATGAGGGCAGGAAAGCATCCCCTTGTAGGGATAAGGGGATTCTTATTAATGGAAAATAGCCCTAGCATCATTCAATCCCGGTGAAATAGTAGCTACACCCCCAGAAGAAAAGGTTAAGATAGCAAGTCCCTCTCCTCGACCGAAGAGTCTCCAAACTGACTTTCAGAAAAGATACAATTGGACAATTCTACCGGTTGGGTTTGTAATTTTTTTATTATCAAAAATATTATCTTCTATAAATGCGACGAAATATCTCTTAGAGTAAAATTGTAGGAACTAAATCTACCTTACACTTCCATATGATAGACTAACACTCCAAATTTACCACTAAGTCCTTCATATCGTTTGATGCATGTTTAAAATTTCTAATAACTGTTCCATGAAAGTTTAAAATATAATTTTCAAATTTTCTTCATACATTCAACGGTGTAAAACAACTCGTCGCCATTTTTCTAATTTGCGGCCGAATTACCAAAATTATAAAATTCAAATTTACACCTCTATTTATTCAAACTTTTTCTCCCTTGTTTCCATCTTGATGTAATCATTTCTTCTTTTATATTTTGTCTTTCTTTTTAAATCATTGCTATTTTTTTGTTATATATTAAATTATCATTTATTAAATTATTTTTTTAAACTAAATATATATCATTTTCTTTGAAAATTACACATTTTTTTTAAATTTAATGAGGTATTTTAAAAGTTTGTCCTTTAATTTATCCGGGTATAAATTTTTTTCTCGAACTTAAATATAAAAACGATGATCTGACATCTAAAAAATATCATCTTCTAATGAAAAAGAAAACGACATCTTTTGAAGGTTAAATATTCACTTCACTTTACTAATATATCTAAAAACAAATCCAATTAATTAAAAAGATTTTTAGTATTAATATATTAATTCAACACTTAAAAATCAATATAAGAAAAGTTCAATTGAAAATTACTTTTATTTATATGTTTATGAGTTTCTTTTGCTTTTTGAGTGCTTAGTTCTATCTTTCAAACTTTTCTATGAGACTTTGGAATGTTCAAAACTTTTTACCTCCAAAAGGAATTTGATTTCAAAACTCAGAAGGTTCACTTTCACTGTTTTAAATCTTTTGGGTAACTTTAGAAAACTACTCAAAAGCTTTTTTTTTTTTGCACAAGCAAAGTGGAGAAACATAAAAGAACATTATGAACACAAATACTAAAAATACTAACAACATTTATATAATCTACACCAAGATATATTTTTCGATTGTTAATTTGATTGACTAAAATACATTTTTGTGTCAGAAATTTAGGTAATTTTAAAAAAAAGGTACTAAAATATATTATATTTTGAAGTATAAAAACAAAACAAATATGATAATTTGGACATTTAAACATTTAAGACTATAAAAATTAGGTTAAATTATAAATTTGGTATTTGAACTTTCAAGATTGTGTATTTTAAAAGGACAATACTTCTCTTTTGACTAGGTAGTAAAAATTCATGTTGCCCACCACTAAGTTTTTTTTACAGGAGTGTGAAAGGAACCCAAACTTTTTTTTTATTCCAAAAATAACAAAAATCTAAAATAGATTCCTCAATTTTAGAGGTTTGACTATTTAGTCTAGTGTAAAAAGATTCTAATATGTAGCTAGATCTTAATTTTATGTTTAATAGACGCTCTTTTAGTCTAATGTGGATGCTACCAAAAGAGCCGACAAAACCTACTTCAAATTTGCTACTAAAAGAGTTGGCAAAACCTACATGAAATCTACATTGTCGCATAATTTTTAAATTTCACATAAGTATTAAAATGATGGGAGTTCGAACCTACAATTTTTTAGAAAAAGTAGAAATATATTAATCACTGAATCATGAATCATGCTCGTACTGATATCAGGGATCAAGTTTACAATCCAATCCAAATCCTAAAAAAAAAAAATTACACCTTTCTTTTCCTTTTTTTATTAAAATAATGGTAAACCCAACGAAAAACTTGGGATGGGAAACAAAAAGGATAGAAAAAAGGGACTTAACCAAAACAAAAAAACATGAATGGTGACATTTCCTTGGAAAGGGATAACACATTAAATGCAACAAAACAAATCCTCCAAAAGTTGGAAAAAAAAAAAAAAGTTTCCTTTCCCAAATCCCCAACCAAATTACCAGACTTTCAAATTCAAT